GGCGTAATAACGCCTTTTAGAAAGGCGTAATAATGCCTTTTGGAAAGGCGTAATAACGCCTTTTGGAAAGGCGTAATAACGCCTTCTAGAATGGAAAGGCGTAATAACGCCTTTTAGAAAGGCGTAATAACGCCTTTTAGAAAGGCGTTATAACGCCTTTTAAAAAGGCATTATAACGCCTTTTGGAATGGAAAGGCGTAATAACGCCTTTTTTCGCGTTATTACGTCTTTTCAAAAGGCGTTATAACGCCTTTTTAATTTTTTTTTCTCTCTAGATTGATCCTAATAGGCTTTCGTAGTTCCGAACATGTTTTTGTTAAATCAAATATGAGCACACGTTTGTCGGCTCTTCTCCTTTTGATATGACTTTCAATATACAACTACAGTTTTCTTAAGAACGACCGACACACATGTGCTGACTGTGAAGTCAAACGATGAACAAGAGGCCCATGGGCCACATCGCTCACCTGAGAAGCTTTGAACATTCTGTTCTTTACCAGATTTCCCCTTGTTATACACATTGTGACCCCACCCTACCCAACTGACCATAATTTAAACAATTTGAAATCTACACTACCATAGGATGCTTTGATTCAACATAGTAAAACTTTGATTCCCCATTGTGGCCCCGCCCTACCCCCGGGGGTGACATGATTAGAACAATTTAGAATCTGCACTATCCCAGGATGCTTCCACATAAGTTTCTGCTTTTCTGGCCCAGTGGTTCTTGCGAAGAAGATTTTTCCTATATATTTCTATGTAAAACTTTGATTCCCCATTGTGGCCCCGCCCAACCCCCGGGGATCATGATTTGAACAAATTAGAATCTACGCTACCCCGGGATGCTTCCACATAAGTTTCAGCTTTTCTGGCTCAGTGGTTCTTTAGAAGAAGATTTTCAAATATTTTTCCTATATATTGCTATGTAAAACTTTGATCCCCCATTATGGCCCTGCCCAACCCCCGGGGGTCATGACTTTAACAATTTGGAATCTACACTACCCTGGGATGCTTCCACGTAAGTTTCAGTTTTTCTGGCCCAATGGTTCTTGAGAAGAAGATTTTTAAAGATTTTTCCTATATGTTTCTATGTAAAACTTTGATTCCCTATTGTGGCCCCGCCCTATCCCCGGGGGTCATGACTTTAACAATTTAGAATCTGCACTACCTAAAAATGCTTCCACATAAGTTTCAGTTTTTCTGGCCCAGTGGTTCTTGAGAAGATTTTTGAAGATTTTTCCTATATATTTCTATGTAAAAGTTTGATTCCCCATTGTGGCCCCGCCCTATCCCCGGGGGTCATGATTTTTACAATTTAGAATCTGCACTACCTAAGAATGCTTCCACATAAGTTTCAGTTTTTCTGGCCCAGTGGTTCCTGAGAAGAAGATTTTTAAAGATTTTTCCTATATATATTTCTATGTAAAAGTTTGATTCCCCATTGTGGCCCCGCCCTATCCCAGGGGGTCATGATTTTTACAATTTAGAATCTGCATTACCTAAAAATGCTTCCACATAAGTTTCAGTTTTTCTGGCCCAGTGGTTCTTGAGAAGAAGATTTTTATAGATTATTCCTATATATTTCTATGTAAAACTTTGATTCCCCATTGTGGCCCCGTCCTATCCCCGGGGGTCATGATTTTTACAATTTAGAATCTGCACTACCTAAAAATGCTTCCACATAAGTTTCAGTTTTTCTGGCCCAGTGGTTCTTGAGAAGAAGATTTTTATAGATTATTCCTATATATTTCTATGTAAAAGTTTGATTCCCCATTGTGGCCCCGCCCTATCCCCGGGGGTCATGATTTTAACAATTTATAATCTGCACTACCTAAGGATGCTTCCACATAAGTTTCAGCTTTTCTGGCCCAGTGGTTCTTGAGAAGAAGATTTAAAAGATTTTTCCTATATTTTTCTATGTAAAAGTTTGATTCCCCATTGTGGCCCCGCCCTATCCCCGGGGGTCATGATTTTTACAATTTAGAATCTACACTACCCCAGGATGCTTCCACATAAGTTTCAGTTTTTCTGGCCCAGTGGTTCTTGAGAAGAAGATTTTTTAATGACCCCACCCTATTTTTGTCTTTTCTTGATTATCTCCCCTTGTGAGGAAACTTGGCCCTTCATTTTCACAATTTGAATTTCCCTTTATATAAAGATGCTTTGTACCAAGTTTGGTCAAAATTGGCCCAGTGGTTCTTCAGAAGAAGTCGAAAATGTGAAAAGTTTACAGACGGACAGACAGACGGACAGACGGACATACCGATTAGTATATACCCTCCCGCTTTTCAAGCGGTGGGTATAACAATGGACTATAACCGGCAATTAGTATGAATTAAGAACGTCAGTCAGCATTTGACTCAGTGATGAATTGTATTTACTGACAAGATCATTGTATCGACCAAAGAACTTACGAAATGATGACTTAAAACAAAACTGCTGATATTCTTGTTTCATCAACTTGTTTGTCAATAATAAAATATCAAAAACTAACTCAAAAATATAGAAATGGCGCCTAGCTCGAACTGCACAAGAAATATAGATCTACAGATCATGGTTTGAAAAACGGGTTCTAACTTGTTTAGCGCCGTTAATAGATTGCAAAATGGAAGTAGTTTTTTTTTCGGAGAAAATATGAAGTGGGTGTAAATATAAACTATTCAAAACGAAAGTTAACTTAAACCTCAATTAAGGTAGCTGCCGTTATGTACCCGAAGTTACGTTTATCGACTATATTACATTTTTGTTCGAACCCGAAGTAAACAAAATCTTGAAAAACTGTTCAAGGGGCATTGATACAGAACTTTGCATTGTTGCCGTTTAAAATTTCTTTTTTCCCCTGAAAATAAAATCATTGTAATTAATTAAACTTATATGTCATGATGAATAGTCTTATAATTCAACGATGAGATTCTCACTTCAAACATCTGTTTTTGTGAAGAGGGAACGATATATGATTTTGATATGTTTGTACGTTTAAAATTTATTTACTTTGCAAAGATCATTCAGTACGGTTTGGCAGTGCTGGCGAGTTAGTTTTGAATTCTCACATTTGTATTCTGATTTTTTCAATTAAAATAATAATTTATTGTTCATTAACAAACCTTCTAGTTTTTTGATGTTATAAGATACAGATGCAAGCGCATCCACGGTCCATGACAGCTAATCAAGTAGGCAAAGAGAACGTCAGAGAAAGAGGCATAATACTAGTAATTGTAACTACATGTATATAAACTAGAGGTACTATGAGCGATGAGCTCACTAAATGATACCCCCCGCCTGCCCTCCATATAGTTATAATGGCAAAGTCCATGTTTTGCTGTGGCCGGGAAACCCAAAATATGTGTCGGATCAAAAAGTAAAATAGGAGGTGCACAATGGCAATATCTTACACAGATTCTTTGAAAGTTTCATCAAATTTCATTCAGTGGTATGAGAGGAGTTGCGGATAAGAGGTGGGTACCCCAAAGCGTAACAGACGGACGGACGGACGGACGGAATTAACGATTACTATATACCCTCCCGCTTTTCAAGCGGGGGGTATAAATATATATTGTTTTCTCTGACTCCAAGAACAAATTAATAAGTCATTTGAAGATCTCTGAAGATTATCGTTTCAGTCTGTACAGAAGTGGCAAAATTTATAACTTGTACTTCTGTGTCTGAATATTCTTGGCTCGTCGGCACAAGGTTCTAAACGTACTTTTATAGTATTCCACACCGCTCACTTCATGAACTCATTTGAATATAAAGAGCTTCATTGTGTCCCATATTTTACCCCTTTCTCCACGGTATCATCCATGACATGCAAAATGTTGTGGCTCATTGCATGGTCGCTCTGAGATGACCCTAAAAGAATGGTAGAGTCTTTTTGTTTGAATAATGATTTTAGCAGCTCCCTGGCGGTCAGTAACAGTGCTTAGATTCTCTTTCTTCATGTTCTTGTGCAAAAATAGCCAAATTTTTAAAATCTAAATTAAGTTTAAAAATCCTGGTTTGGGTGTCAAGTGCCGTTATTTAACACATAGACTGGGGTCTATTTGGCCTCATGGCACCATGTAATGCTGCTTATGTACATACACATACACATCTTTTTGATACGTTGCTCCGGGGCCATAAAACTTAAATGATAAAGAGCTCACTTTTGATCTCAGTATCGCTTTTCTATCATTCCTTTGGTTAAAGTGAAACTTAGATCAAAATTGAGCTCATTTAAGTTTTAACTTATCCCATGGGATGAGTATATAACACCGGAAAGGGAAGGTATTGTCGTTAGGCTCAAATCATCCGAGGTCATATTTCCTAGTTTGGGTGCCAAAACCATGTTTGAATCCCACAGAGTCAATATCACTCAAGCCAGTGCAACTGTAGCACCTGAAAGCGATACAGTTATTATACCCCCCGCTTGAAAAGCGAGAGGGTATATAGTAATCGTTAATTCCGTCCGTCTGTCCGTCCGTCCGTCCGTCCGTCTGTTACGCTTTGGGGTACCAATCTCTTATCCGCAACTCCTCTCATACCACTGAAGGAAATTTAATGAAACTTTCACAGAATCTTTATTACATATTGCCATTGTGCACCTCCTATTTTACTTTTTGATCTGACATATATTTTGGATTTTCCAGAGCAAAACATGGACACTTCCATATTATATTCATATGGGGGGCGGGGGGTATCAGTTAGTGAGCTCATTGCTCACAGTACCTCTAGTTTCCTTTCACAATGGTTCCAAGTAGACCTCTTTAAAAGCTAATTGTATTAGGAAGTACAGAACCTCGGGGATACCAGATATGAAAATTTCGTTATACAGTAATCAAATTTAATTTATTCTTTCCTGATTCATTTACACGATCGTTACCTTTAAAGAAACCGCATTCACATATTGAAAATTGGGCTCAATATACCTATAAGAGATAAGTGATAAACTTATGGATATTCCGTTACTGACGGGTATCTAATAGTCGGGTGATTTAATTCAGGCCTAAGTTATTCATGTTGTTTCCTGTTGTTAACATTTTCTGGCGTAATGGCTACGTCCATTGATACTGCGACTGTATTTGATTGTCCAATTTGTTTAGAAAAGTTATCGACACCGAAGTATCTTCCATGTCTTCATACATTTTGTAAGTTGTGCATTCAGACATTTATCGAAAAGTTTAAAAATACGTCCAGTTTTCCATGTCCCGTATGTCGACTTGAAGTCTCCACTCCGGATGCAAACATTTCCTCTGAGGAATGGGCCAATAAATTACCGCTAAATCACCTTCTACTATCACTTCAAGATGTCTCAGAGAGATCGAATAATTCTCAAGATGTTTTATGTGAACCTTGCAAACGTGCTAATGAAACAAAGAATGCCAAGTTCTACTGTCGAGATTGCATGGACAGTTTGTGTGAAAATTGTTTTACATACCATCATAGACGAATTCGTCGTTATGAAAGCCACACTGTTGTAGACATTTCAAAGTGTTCACAAGAGATCCTCTCGGGACAACTATTGGACATAGAAGAGCCATGCACAATTCATAAAAACAAAGTCCTAGAAGTGTACTGCTTTGACCATGAAGTTCTTTGTTGCAGCGTCTGCTTTGCAACATTGCATAGGAAATGCGACGAGGTAAAGTCACTTGAAGAAGTTGCCGAAGGAATGGGAGAAACTATAGATTCAGTTAATATTATTTCCACATTAGCTTCAATTAAAGCAAAGACAGACATAGAGATCAGCCAAACAAAGAATAACTTCAAACAACTTGAAGACAAACAGGCGGAAATTGTAGAGTTGGTTGTGACTCATGTTGAAGAAGCTAAAACTAAGTTAGAAATGCTTAAAAACAAGTTCATTAAAGACTTTCAAATTGTGCACGACAATGAAATAGGTCATTTGTCAAATACAAAGGCCTATTTAGAAGAATTTTCAAAGTCTCTTGCAAGATCCGAAAAGATGCTCAGTGTTACAGCTTCCAATGGTAGTAAAAGACCATTGTTTCTAGCACTGGAGAGAATAAAGTCTGAAGTGTCCAACCATTTACATCAGCTCCACAAACAAACGGAAAATCTAAGTAACATAAACTATTATTGGGAAGAGAATTCAGTCATCAATGATATTCTTGCTGAGGAGAGTGTTGGAAATCTGCAAGTCCAAAAGTCAGAGAGAAGCATAATCGATAATTTGAAAAAAGAAGTGGATTCGTTTAAGATAGCCACCAGTTTACGAAAGAATCAGGGGTCAAGACCCAAATTTACAGTAAATGAAAGTTCATACGATATGCCGGTCAGTATGCCTCCCCAAATACTTAAAAGAAAACAAAAACGTACGAAGAAAGTCGAACCTACTAAGGTTGCTTCCAAACTATGTAATGAATACCAAACAACCACTCTATCCGTTACAGGCCTAATTGTGAGTGATAAACAAAATCCTTCAACACCAAGTCGGGAGATAATTTCCGATTATCCCAAATGTTCCGAAGAAAGTCTTGACAATAACCATTTGTTCTCACAAACTGATTATGATAAGGAAATTGTAGAAATACCAAATAACAATGCAACAAAGGCCGAGATTAATGACAATGAGAATAAACCACGTAAGCTATCTGCACCAACACGATGCGAATCATTGAAAACAACACGGGAGTCAAGAAAAGCACAATGTTTAAGCGATGATAAGCCTAGGGGACACAGTAATTCCTGGTCATTGGCTGATTATGAGTCCAGGCGTGGTACTTCTCGAACGGTTCCTGTCTATTACCCAAGGTCCCGAAATTTTAACCAGGAAAATGCCGATATTTATATGCCTCCTGAGAGTAAAGAAAATTGAAAAACAGTTTAACTTATGCAGGAGGGACAATGATTCCCACACCTTAAACATCTTTTACACGCATTATCATTTGGAAATCGACGCTTAACCTTGTATTAAATCCTTGATTTCTTAAAAAAAAATAAGATATACACGTAAATATACTGAAAAAATACTAGCATATGGAACTTTTTTCTATAATAAATTAATAATTCATTCAAAAAATGTTTTGTCGTGCTCTAATCGTAAATATGATCGCGTGTGTTTCATCTCTTGTTTGTCTTATAGTTTTTTTTTTAACATTTTGAATGTACTGCACTGTCAAGCATTAGGAAAAAAGTATATTAATGAAAACTACTTTACTAGACCAAATATACTTTTTTTCCACGCTGATGAAAAAACAAGATGCTAAGGCAATGAAAAAAAAACTCTGTACGTTTCTATCACAAATATATGATTTAGTATTCCCTCCATTTTTTCGTTATTTATACCATTATTATATGTATATTATATATTTTTTTCTGCCTTTCTGTGTCCCCTTTCATTTTTATTTTCTGAAAAAGTACAATTATCATATACTAGTACTTGTACCTCTGAAATGAATTTATGTGCTTTAAATATTTTCCATTGTCCTCATGTACCAAATACATTTCGGATGGTTTTGACTGAATAAATAATGAACTTGAACTTAATGAAGTCTTCAGTGAAACTCCATAAAAATATAATTGATCATTATTCCTCCAATCGGCAATCGGCTGACTCCACTACACTCCATAAATACCTAGAATGTGATTGTTGGGTGGAGGAATATACATCAAAATATACGTAGCTTCACCAGAAAATGTTTGTTTGTCTGTTGTTTAACGTCCCTCTCGATAATATTTCACTCATATGGAGACACCACCACTTGTCATTGGAGAGCTGCTGCTAATTTGTCCATACTCGGCACAAATTGCCATTGCGCAGTGAGGGTTTTTTTCATGGACACGTGGAAATTCCGACTGTAATTCTTTTTGTAATATCTTGACTGCATTTTTATGCGCCCGCATCGATAGATCCGGGGCGTATATTGTTTTTGTCCTGTCTGTCTGTTTGTCTGTTTGTTTGTTTGTTTGCAAACTTTAACCTTCGCCATAACTTTTGAACCATGAAAGATAGAAACTTCATATTTGGTATACATACTTCACTGAGTAAGCTCTTTCAAATGACAACAAGGTCAATGGCCCTGTGACCTTGACTGTGACCTATATGCTAAAAAAACCTTTTTATCTGCAAACTTTAACCTTCGCCATAACTTTTGAACCATGAAAGATAGAGACTTTGTACTTGGTTTGCGTACTCCACTAATTAAGCCCTTTCAAATGACATGAAGGTCAATGACATTGTGACCTTTACTTTGACCTTTATCCTAAAAATAGTTTTTTCGCACCTTTGCCATAACTTTCGAACCATAGAAGATAGAGACTGCATATTTAGTATGCTTACTCCACTAATTAATCTCTTTCAAATGACACCAAGGTCAATGACTTTTTTACCTTGACTGTGACCTTTATGCTAAAAATAGTTTTTTCGTACCTTTGTCATAACTTTTGAGCTACAAGAGATATCGAGACTTCATATTTGGTATCCATACATTACTAATCAATTTCTTTCAAATGATACCAAGGTCAATGACCTTGACTGTGACATATATGCTAAAAATAGCTTTTTAAAAAAATTTTGTTGCCGCCGGGCGCATAGTGTTCCACAAACACATCTTGTTATTTATTGATTGCATTATTGACACAACAAGAATGAATTTTAAAAAGAATACTACATCAAAAGAAAAACATTTATTATAAGAATATATTTTACTCATGCTTAATTACAACATAATGAGTACAGGTAATACCAGTATATAAAGCTTATATAATATAAAAGCCGATATATCATCCAGAAAATGTGGATTTCTTTCATCATGACAAATACATGCCAAAATAAAACAAAAATCAAAATTCTTTGTCAGTTATTTAAAATAATTATTCTTTAACATGTATGATAGCAAGCATTTATTTGAATTCTTAAGAGGTGAAAATCTGAATCATGAGGGATGGTACACTTATCAATCTTTGTTCCCCGTCCCCCTAGGGTGCCCCACAACTGGTTGCGTTCCGTTCCGTTTCGTTCCGTAAAGTACCATTAGCCGTTATTTTTTTTAGCTCACCTGAAATGAATTTCTGATCACATTTTGTTTGTAGTCCGTCTGTTTGTCCGTCCGCCCGAAAATTTTTCACATTTTGGACGTCTTCTCCCGAACCACTGGTCCACTTTCAACCAAACTTGCCATGGAGCATCCTTTTTTAAAATGAAGGATCACAGCCTGATTCAAGGGGAAATCATTTAAATATAGTGAAATTTATAGGTGGCATGTTTTAAAAATCTTCCAAAGAGCCAGCTACATGTATGTAGTTACTATACAGACTACATAGGAAATTCGTGCAGTTACTGGAGATTATAGTAAACCATAACTTTTTAATGGTTAGTGTTGGGGTTTCATATTTCACACGTATATTCATTGAGAACAATTAAGTCCTTTCTTTGGGTAGCAATTCAACATTTTTCATCTCTGACCTCGGAGTTCGACTTGCATTTCAATAATGTATATTGTTTGTCTTTTCGCAACTTCCATCCAGTCACCGATTTTTTATATGTCGCGAAGATCTTCCATCCGCTCCCTGATAAAAAAAAAGGGGGGAGGGGGACAGTCAGCAATCTCTCGTGACTGTTACCATCATAGAGTATTTTCTATAAGTAAGTAGAATCCCTGACTCTGGGGCCATAAATTTCATAATTTTGGTAGAGGACTCAAATAGTGCTCATTTCAATCATGTCAGCAGTTTGATGCTCTGGAGTAAAGAAGAAAGACTGCATGCATTGATTTAAGTAATTTGGCCCCACCCACATATTATATTTTATTGACAATATGTCAAAGGGATTGGACACAAATTCCAAAATCTCAGATAGTCCTTTCCCACATGAATTTCATATAAATTGTATGAAAAACAGGAAAATCAAAATTTTGTGGTTTAATCAAAATTTTAATTCATACACTTCAACCATACCATGATACTCTAGCCATGAGCTAACAAAAAATCTCTTCCCATTCTTATCAAAACAGAGTGCATATGGTTTCTTGATAACATGCAGAGCTGGTAAAATTCTTCTGATTTGCTGACCATCTTTAGAAATCTGCACAACACACCCTTCTTTACATTCACAAACATAAATATTATTATAAATATCTACACCAATTCCTTTCACACCTTTCCTTGTAATTCCCGTTTGAACTTGCGAACAATGGAAAATCTCTTCTCCGCTATTAATTTCATCACATATAAGCGAGCCTGATTTGGAATAAATGATTGTTTTTGCATCACAGGAAAGGGTAAAAAATCCAAACCCACAATTACTACCGTTGAGAGTTTTTGAAATTGTTCCATCATTCTGAATTTCTTGTACACACCATGGGTTTCCTGTATGAGCAAAGATACAGTCATTCAACAATATCAGTTGATAAAATTCCATTTTCTCAGTTTTCAAATCTTTCAGATATTTGAAACTTGGAGAGACTGAAAATTCTGAGATATTTTCACCCATGGAAACAAATATTGTTTCATCTCTCCCAGAGTGACATATCCCTCTAATGTCTTCTGTTTTCTTGGAAAACAGGACTTTGACAGATCCCGATGGAGATACCTCCTTTATTGAGTGATTGTGTTTGTCCACAATAATCAATGATCCATTCTCTAAGAACACTCCTCCCGTGACCCAGGGTGTGGTCGTATCTTCTGGACATTTTACACAGTATGATGCCATGTGATTTACAGTAATTGACGCTGGATCTGTCATCAATGAAATCCTTGGTTTTGGTAACTTTATTACACATTTCAATGAGTCCACTCCCTTCCTCAAATCAGGAATAATGCTTGTCCTATCCTTTTTTACATGTACATTACAAAGTGTTTCAACATTCTTTATGCTTTTCATCACTGGATCTTCTTCCATTTCATATTCCACATGACCTTGATGCTTGTTCTGTTTTTCAATGTCATCTAAATCTTTTATTAGTTGTGTCCTTATCCACTCATGTGTGAGAAACAGCTGTCTCTTTGAACTTGTATTACTGGTAGCCTTCAGTGTCTTTGCAGACCTTGTAAGAGTTTCTAAGAAATTTTCAAGACACATCTGTGTGTTTGATAATTGGCACTTTTCATTTTCATGTGTCACTTCTAAATTTTTTTGAAATTTGTTTTGCAATCCATCTAGCTTGGTTTTGATATCTTCCACAAGACAAACTACATCTGTTTGAATTCTCCTGTGCTGGTCTTTGAGATGATCCAAGTTTACATTTGTTTGCTGAATTTCAGATTCTGTCTTTTCTTTCATTGATGTGAAAATGCCATCAATTTGATCTGGATTTAGTTTCTCTGCAACCTCATTCACAGTTTTCATATTCACACATTTCTTGTGTAATGCATAAAAACAAACACTACAACTCAGTTCTTCATGGTCAAGACAGTAAAAATCCAAAGGCTTATTTTTATGAATGCTACAGTGTTCCACTTCTAATACAGAACTTGAGTATATTTTATGTGGAGACGCAGAAATGTCTGTAATGTTATGATTTTTATAATGAGGAACACGTCTGTGAAGATACGAAAAGCAGGTTTCACAAAGACTGTCATCACAATTGCTGCAGTAAAACTTGGCACTTTTTCTCTCATTGACACGTTTGCATGGTTCACACAAAACACTTTTCCCTTGGTCACAGGTAGGTGTCAACTTGACTTTATTATCCAGAAGTGATAATAGTAGGTGGTTTAATGGAAGTTTATTTGCCCAGTTCTCTGGTGTAATATCCGCCTCTGGAGCAACGACTTTTTGTCGACATACAGGACATTCAAAAGTCAAAGTTTGCACTTCATTGCGGCTTGATTTTCCAACACAGGTTTCAATATATGAGTGTATACACTGTTCACAAAATGTGTGTAGGCATGGGAGATATTTGGGGACTTTTAACCTTTCTAAACATATTGGGCAATCAAATACAGTTCCTTCTTGCCTCAGATCTATATCACTTGCCGTAGCCATCAATCACTATTCCTCTTCATGTCAATGTTATCAAGACATTCAAAACCAAAATCCCTCAAGCACGTTACTTTCACTTTCAAACGGAAGTGTTTTCCGAGTCCGACCTTTTCTGTGCGACATGAAAAAAAAATTATTTTTGAAAATAAAATAAGAAAGCTAAGTGGTTTCTCCTCCGAATTTTGCGAAATTCTTGCATCATTACTTTGTAGGATAATTTAATTAATTTTAGATAAATTGTAACGTAAATGACGCGAGCATATCATTATAGCCTTTTGCGTATGTTAGTCAGATCTTTCATCCGGGCACTTTGTTGAGAGCGGTTTTCAAGGTAAGTTTGAAAACATTGAACGTGTTGCAGAACTGAACTACGCCCGATCCCCCTGTTTTTGAATATATCGATGAAAAATTTTAATACCTTGTAGTTCCGATTAGAGGTAATTTTCAATTTTACTATATGATTTTTAGTAAAATGACATAATTGAGGTGGGACTCGAATGTGACATATTTTGGAGCCAAAATAAGAATTTGGTTTTGAATGATTTCCTTTTACATCTCGTTTACAGTGTAAAATGATCTAGAAATAGTGAGCCGTTAATACATTCGACATCAGTTATGACTGTATAGTGTAAAGTTCTAATGAAAAGATATGAATAGGGGTTATGAAGAATCCCATTTTTAAATATGTCAAGGGACTTGCTAGGCGGTAAAAAATATTTGTAAAAAAAACCGATAACCCTACTATAAAACTACACAAGGGAGGACGCCAATCGCTTCAACCTCTGTTTTTTAAATATAACACATCTCAGTGAGTTGACAGATACCATTGAATTGTATATATTTTATTGTTTAAGAATTATTTGTTTCACCTTTGAAGAATATGTGATATTATTTTGTTTTCTTTTGTGAAGAGGTAAGTGTAATTGTATGTAGAGCTGAAACAACTGTTAAAACACATCTCTGACAGATACCACTGAATTGTGTATATTTTATTGTCTAAGAAATATTTCTTTGTTTCACCTTTGAAGGATATGTGATATTAAAAGTTTTTCTGAAACAACGAATATTTTGAATAGGAATATTTTGAATAGGAAAATTTGTATTTGAATATTCGGTCACATATATTTAATACCTGTATGTCATGCAATAAACTGTACAGCATCCAGTTTTTGATCGCGGTGGAAAAAGGAGCATTTCTAAATATAAACGTAAGCAAAGACAAAGCAGTTTGTCCTGATATACAAAGGCATGAAATCAAATCTGATTGATCATCTTCAGGCCAAACATCCATCAGCCTCATGGTTTGTAAATTTCATTTCTCCGATGATTATCACTTTGCTTAAATAGAAAGTAATAAAAAGTTTATAAAAGAAAAATATTCCCAATTAACAAATAGACTAGTAAATTATAGTGATTGTATTATACAAAATTGCAGAATGTAACATTTTAAATTTTGATATAGTTTAATAACAGTAAAACATGGCGAGCAGCTTCAAGTTTGGTGACTGAGTGTTTTATGTAATCTGATTGCAATACAGTGATCAATATTTTGAAGATGATGTTAATTTAAATTGAATTGACAATTGGAACATGCAACACAACCTAAAAAAAAATTTAAACCAGAATATTGATAAAGATTCTTTTTCTAATTTTGTTTTTGCTGAAACTAAATACCAGTAAACATGACTCTTAATATACATAACGACTTTGAAGAGACATTTATTTCTTACACCTATCGTAAACATAAATTGTATAGTAATGAACGAAAGTGAAAAGGCATAATAACTCCTTTAATATCTTACCAAATACATGTATTCGAATATGAATCGAATAGTCACGAATATTCATACATTGATTTATGGTATAATTTGTTTCAGCTCTACATGTAAGTATTGACAGGGGCTTGCTTTCGGCATGTCTATAATAATTATTTATTTTAAAATTCATGTGATATAGTATTACATAATATTAAAACAATACAAGGGAGGACACTATTTTGGACCCCTTCCTTGTTTCAACTTCTGTTTTCATTGTATTTTCCCATACTGACTCATGGCCTCAGATCTGTCAAGTAATGGTTCTTATCAAATTAAAGCATTGCATCTTTGTTTCAGAATGGAACCTAAACGGGTTTTAGCTGAAGTGACCAATAAAACCCTGGAGAATACTAAGGAGCCAGTGAAAGACACTCCAAAAGAACAGGCAAAACAGTAAGCTCTAAGTCAAAAGTAAACATGGTAAATGAAATTTAAAATTCTGATGCTTGCTTCCAAGTGACTTTAAGTGTAACTGACAGGCCCCAATACCTATTAAGGTGACTATGAGTGGAAGTTTGGTCACTGCATTTCAAATAAGATAATGGATGATCATTAAAAAATGGTGGGGGGGGTACATTTGTATATAAATGAGTAACAAGAAAATACAAGTGACTTGTGGTCTGTGTTCTCGTTTTTTGAAATTAAATCAAACTCTGCTATGTAAGAATAACAGATTCTCAATTATTTTTTTCTACCCCTGAAGTTTATACAATTGAAGCATCATCAAGTACAATATGCTTGGTATGATATGTTTTGTTTTGTGTTTGCAGGGAAAGATCAAAATGGTCACTTGATAGTTTTGATATTGGAAAACCACTTGGAAAAGGAAAGTTTGGCACGGTGTATCTTGCAAGAGAAAAGGCTACAAAATTTATCATTGCTCTAAAGGTATTGTCTCTGTATTCTTTGCAGTGCATCAAAGGAGGAAAAACTTTTAGCATTGACCATATTGACGGAAGTGATATGATTTTACTGTTGTCTTGTAGGTTTTATTCAAGTCACAATTACAGAAAGCTGGTGTGGAACATCAACTTCGCAGAGAAATTGAAATTCAGTCTCATTTAAGGTAGAATTTACTTAGAAAGTGTGAACAGATGAGGCAATGTAACAAACAGTTCTGTTGACAACATCTTAAATTGGGGAAGTTCTGGAAGGCATATAAAATAGATCTCAAAAATGCACCTCTAGAACAAGATGTCCCTAGGAATGTTAGGTTTTATATGTCACCTTGTTTTTGAATAGCACCCAAAGATCCAGACTACTGTTGAAAATTTCAATATAAGTTTGCAGACCAAGCCTCCATTTCCAAACTCTTTTATTTGCAGACACCCCAATATATTACGTCTATATGGTTACTTCCACGACAAGTCCAGAGTTTACCTGATCCTGGAGTATGCTCCAAAGGGGGAATTGTACAAAGAATTACAGAAGCAGGGACGATTCGATGAAAAGAGGGCAGCTACTGTAAGTCAATGTAAATTATATTAGTTCCGAAAATCAGTCCAAGATAATAGTTTTAATGCAGAGCTTATAAATGCTCAATCATGAAAGCAGAATGAAAATGCAAACTTGATCTGTAACTCAAGAAGGTAGACACAAACATCAAATAATCAGTCCAATATTTGTAAAACTTAACAAAAAAATGCAAAATTCTAAGAAGGACGAATGGCTTAGGATATCTTATTATTCATAATGAATATTTCTAGTCAATTTTATGTAATTGTACTGTGATAAAAGTTTCAATTATCGACAAATCAATTTGTATGTTACTGATTCAAAATAATAATTACTAGCTACACCTTTAATATCCCATGATGCATTTATTTCCTTTTTTTCTAGCACATGTTGCAAATGTTCAAAGCCATGTCGTACTGTCATGAAAAGAAGGTCATCCACAGAGATATCAAGCCAGAAAACTTGTTAATGGGACTAACTGGAGAACTTAAGATAGCAGACTTTGGCTGGTCTGTGCACGCCCCCTCATCAAGGTAGGGCCTGCTTTTTGATGCTTTATATGACTATCTATGATGGGACATACTAATGGTAAAGCGTTCACTATAGATGGAATAGAACATTGATGAATGCAATGATCACATGTTTATGGTGTTTATATCCACTTGATTTGTCTGTTAGTTGTACTGATAGCTAACAGACTAACATGTCAAACCCTGAATTTTCTTCTTTGCAATCTTAAATGTTGGTGCTTATATAATTGAACAGTATTAATATGACATGCATATCATGATATGCTGTGGCGGAGCACTTTAGTCCCAATTTCATTCCTGCTTTTAATTTCCAGACGTACAACACTGTGTGGTACCCTGGACTACCTCCCCCCTGAAATGATTGAAGGACAGCTCCACGATGAGAGAGTGGACCACTGGAGTCTGGGAATTCTCATGTACGAGTTCTTAGTGGGAAAGCCCCCCTTTGAAGCCGAGACCAACACAGAAACCTACAGAAGAATAACAAAGGTTGACCTGCATTTCCCTCCCTTTGTCTCACAAGGGGCCAGGGATTTAATATCAAAGGTAGGGTTTAAAGAACATCAGCTTTTATATATCATGGAAGGAAAGTTTTTAGTGAGGATTTATTCTTGGTATAACAAGCCGAAATTGAAAATCATAACATTTCATTTGGTATTGGGGCATTATCTTTCTTAGTATTACGAAATTGCTAAAATCACATTTTGCTTAAATTATAAGCCAAATTTAAAGGATATATTTTTGTCCTTTTAAAATTCCACTGTCATCTACTTTCTTGAAAGTAAAAAATGGCTCTTTTGTCCTAGTTCTTCACAAGACAGCTATGTGGTAAAGCTGTGTGTAAATGGTGTAAGACTCATGTAGATAGACTATGGTAACTGGTTTAAAAGTAAACTGTATTCTTTGTTTGTAGTTGCTCCGTCACAATCCCAAACACAGAATCGACTTGAAAGACGCTATGGAACACCCCTGGATCAAAGAAAACAGTCACATTCTCCCCACGAGCAGATCAGAGAGCAAATCCTCCACCTCTTCTACATCCTGAGGGGCGTAGCTGTCTCTGGGGTCTGCAATAAACCTGTGTGATCTTTCAATAACTGGTGGCTCAGTTGAAAACTGGACCAAGAACTTTGACACCTCAATATTCAGGATTTTTCTATAGGATTATCTCAGTGCTCACCTTTCATACTTCATGATTTTATGGCCAAAAAAAAAATCAATAGAGTGCTGTCTTGTCATTCAAAATCTTTGTACTTTGTAAAAATTTTGTGATTGTTTGGAGTAAATGATCATAAAATTTAAGCAACCTGTTGATAGAGTATGACAGAAATGTTAAATTTTGTACCTTCGTGTTCATAAAATTACATGTAGATGGATGCTTTTTTAAGATACCTTTTTTTCTGATGAATACTGTACACAGGAAAATTTTTGCCCCCGTTTTATTTTCGCCCCTTTCGCCCTCTTCCTGATTGGACAAATTTAAAACGGTGCGAATTCAAATTACACAGCATAATTTCTTAAACAAAACTATGACTGGACGAATTTAAAATGGGGCCAAATTGTCCGCAAGTGCAAAAGGGCGAAAATAACCCTGTGTACAGTAAGTTCAAAGAGAGTTCAAGTTGAGGAGTCTTAACTGAACTTAAACTATATAATGCCAGAATACTGCATGATTCAAGTTTTTCTTTTTATTTTGATGAATTTTATATAAAAAACAAAAAAGCAAACTAGCTAGAAACTGCATTTTCAATGTTTAAAGAAAAACTTGTTCATGCAAGTTTTACTTGTTGTTATATGATAGGGAGACATTAATCTTTAAAAGAGAGAAAATACCCGGTACTACCGTGGCTTTTCGAATTATTATAAGATTGATTTGAGAGATGTTTTGTGTGAATGCATGTTTCTCTGTTAGTTTTGTGTGTACAGTACTCTGTGTATATACAGTTTCACATACATTACATGCAAACTTTACTGTCAGCAATGTTGATAAGTACGTTTTTCTTAAAGCCCTAAGTTACAGTTAAAACATCTTTTTATCCTTGCACATAAAAAGTGAAATATATTAACTTGTTTACTTGGCCTTGTTTGTACTTGTATTTTATATTGAATGAAAACAAAGCTGAAATCATTCCTTGTAGCAACATGCAACTTATGTATAAAAAATGAATATGGAAATTACTATGGTGTAAAATTGATTTTAAGTGTCTGAGATTAATAATGATTTGTGCAAGAGAAATTGATGTGAATAGTTTCTCTGTGAATCATTTCCATGATGATGCAAAAGAAAAGTTTGGCTTGAATCCTAATATTTTAATTTGAATGAGAGTGCATCCTCTTTAAAGCTTAATAATGTTTTTGTTAATACAACATGAAAGAAACTGTTCATTTCTGCTTCTGCAAATATACACGTGCACTTTCTTAAAATATAAATGATTCAGATGATGTTCATAGTTTTATATATTGAGTCAGTTGGGACATTTGAAATATGAAAAGCACAACTCTGTTTAGAGTTAAGTCAAGTCATTTACAATATGCTGTACCTTTGATTGCATTTTAATATAAACACAGAAGTATGCTGATAAAAATTATGGTTGAAGCCATGATGTGAAGTGATTCAAAATCATGACTGATTTTTATTGTCTTCTATTAAATTATTTTGTATGCATGTTTTGTTGTTATTTATGACTTTTCATATAAATGTTTAAACCCCATGCAACATGATGTTTTTGACCTGTCTGTCAGTCAGTTTTTCTTTTGTCGGTAAAACTCATCTTCAACTGCTGCACAGAATTTTGCTAAACTTTCATATATTTAGGACTTGATGTGTAGATGTGCATATTGCCAGGAAATTCCAGTATCAATTTTTTTTCTGGGAATTTTAACCATATCTTGAGAGAGTTATGAACTGTTTGTCAAGTCATCTCAACTTTAACCTCAGCACAAAATTTTATTGCAGATATTAAGTATATATTTGAGTAAAGTGTACTGTGCCATTCATAATGTGTTGCATTGTGAAGTTTTGGGGGAGTGTGGGGTTTGTGAATTTCCTCATTTCATGCCCCCCCCCCCTTTCGAGAGGGAGAGCATGTTGCTTTACTGCCGTCGGTCGGTACAGAACGGTTTCAATTCATTTTCTTTGCAGAGGTAGCATATACTGAAATGAAATATTCAGAATTGAAATGAAAACTTAAACGACTTTTAAAAGCAATATTATGTTTGTAAAACACTTATGCCCCCCTCCCCCAAATAAAGGACATAAACACTGTCCAAAATGGCTCCATGATACCAAAAAGAGAACTTGACCTAGATATTTTTTTGATAAATATGTATACCAAATTTCATTTCAACTTGTTATTTATTTCTGAATTAAACACTTCTGGACAAAAACACAAGCAACATAAGGTGACTGGAGCAATAAATGGCACACCTCAGTCCTATTCGACTAGATTAGATTAGCCATAGGCTGTTTGCAGGAAACAAGTGGCTGGGCTTATTCCGTATATAGTTCTTCAAGTGTTTAATATTTAAAAAAGTGTAAATTTAACAAAAAATCATATTGCAGACACACTCATGTAATCTTCTAATAAACAGATTCAATACCGGTATACTAGTATATAAAAATAGGGTTGCTATGATACATGTCTTGCAGATGTATATTGTATGATATTTTCAGTTTTTAGCACTCAATAGCTAGATTTCACACACTTTTTTTTACTTCGAAATAAGATTTTAAATAAGAAGGACAGTTGCAATGAGATATACATTTCCACTAAACCGCTTTCCATACACCTCCCAATATAATTATCACCAGTGAAAAAGAAAATTAAAGAATACTGGGCAACTCTATATTACAAAAATGGTTTTAATCAGATATGAATAATCACAGTACTCTTTAAGGATGTACAACACACCTACCCCAAAAAATTCCTGTCGTTTAATTTTCGTTATTTTTGTATATTTAGTACATGACTATATCTACTGCATATATGCACATTTTGGACAAAATCGTTCGAGTGGTTTTTGGACAGGAACTTCCAAAATTTACCCCCCTTTAGTTGTTTACAAGGAGAGAAAATTTTTAATCAATGAACTACTTAAACCTTGATTTTCAAAAAAGCCAGGTTAGATATAAATATCAAATTTCATTGGCTTATTCCTTTAACCATTTAACACAAAAACATAGTCATCTTTTTGATATACATATCATTAAAATTATTTTTAAAGACCTTAAACTGAAAAAACTATGAATTATCTAAGCCTTGAAAATTGCGTATTTTCCACATTCAAAATTTTTTTGTGAAAAAACCTGTCGTTTAATTTTAGTAAAAAACTTTCTTTAGGTAGCTGGTAGTAAAAATAATCTTCATAATTTTTTGTATCATTTTTGTACGACCAGTTTTGATTTAATAGCGGAAAATTACCCCCTCCCCCTTTCTCAATAAATCACGTTCCCGCGCGTCTTTCAGACGGGGGTCGATCACTTTGTTATATGAATCTACAAATACACATTTTAATAAAAATAATTAAATTGGAATATTGCTTTTGCTTCAGAAATATATTAACTTACAAATTTAAAAGTTGTCATATGTAAAGCGTATTTAAATGTAGATTTTTAGGCAATTTTTGAATACCCCTATCACCCCCACCCCTTCCTTTTTTGCGTCGCAGACCATTAGCGTTTGGCGAAACGTCGTTTACAGTGCAAATATACTGGTATTTCGTCATTTGAATCCCGGAGATATGCATTAGTTTTTAAATTCATGAATGCATAATAAATATTGACTACTCTTTTAATATGTATCAGGAAAAATTACTGAAGGATTTTAGTGTTTAGTCCATATATGTATGCGTTATGCGTTCCATATCACATGAAACCTGGATACGAATTCAAGTTTTGCTGAACTTGAATATGTTGATTTTTAATTTTATTTCTTTAATTTTATTCATTAAAAAATGGTGTATGTTCAACTCTCCGTTGATATAAATGGAATAATTGTAGTTTCTTTCATGTCATTATTTCAAACGAGACAGTATGTGGCCGTGGGGATACATCAACATTTGCATCGATGTACACCCCTCATGATATTGTACGCATTTCTTTCAATGTCGTCACTTCTAAAGTTAAAATGAAAATTCCGTATTCGTTAAGAAATGAATGTAATATTTTTTCCTTTGATCGATGTATCAAAGAAAAATTTGGACGGAAAACTTCATCAATGCGCGTAGCGCATTGATGAAAAAGTTTTCCGTCCAAATTTTTCTTTGATACATCGATCAAAGGAAAAAATATTACATTCATTTCTTATCATTTAATTATGCTTTTAAATTGATAAAATGAATCTTTCTTTCACCTTTCTATTAAATTTACGCATCAAAAACAGTGCGCACGAATACATCACAACAACGTTAACGTTGCTGAAATTCAAAATGGCTCAAACGAAGAAACGTTCTCAAATATTGTCGTGGCATTACCAACATTCTCTGAAATAATTTACAGTTCTTTAACACAAAAAAAACTTACCTGTTGTGTTATCCCAATCGGTATATTTTCCCTGGTAAGTTATCTAAGTTCGTAAATGTAAAGGGAAGCTACTCAAATATCCTAACAGTTCTAACGTTTGGTCACAGAAATTTTTGATTTCATTTGCACATCTTTTCATCTGAATTTCAAACCGAACATATAAATACGTATCACAACCTGTTAATGTGTAAAACCTGAAAGATTCTGCTGCCGACTTTTTAAGAATAAAAGAATCTGTCCTCATTCATGCAGTGTCGTTTTTCTCGATCATTCGTTTCCCACGTTTTAACAGATTAACGGTTTTTCCTCTCTTTGGTAACATAAAAAACGTTTCTTCAGAATTCTGTTGTTCATACCAGACATCTCAAAGCCAAACATTTCACAAAAGTATGTCGATTTCTTTCCTTCTTTCCCAAAACTGTATTGTTGTTATGCAGACGATTTGATTTGTTTAGCAAAGGGGGATAATTCAAAAAGAAACGAAAGTAGAAAATAAGTCGGGGACGTAACGGACAGGTTTCGAAATTCAGGAAAATATTTATTAAAGTAAAAGTATTTATTATTCCTCCAAGAAGTAACCTGGGAGCGGGAAATATACTTGTAGAGACTGCCAAAGTAGTTCCGGCTGCTTAGCATGCTTAGTGCAAGCGAACTCTAGATTTTATTGATGCAGGTATCAAAAGAATTTTTAAACCAATCAGAATCAAGTATTTTATAGAAATTAAATGATTCCACATTAACTTCAAAATATCAAATACTCTTCATCTATTTCAATTTATATAAAATCGCACTTTGATATTTTTTAAAATCTTATAGGCTACGTTTTGTTTTGGTTCGAGGAAATGCGAACCGACATTGTTGACAGAAAGTCAAATGATTTGCTGCAATAGGATATTCATAAATGCAGATAATTTCAGTACAAGTGAACAATTCTTTTCAATTCTATACTTACATTGTGTATATGAGGTCTATAGTATTCAATTCTCGGATTTATCAGGTCTTGCTGTAAATGTATCTGATTCTGTGGAAAACCGTGAATAAAGGGAGGAAAATAAACATCTCCTACATTTTCAGAGTTGTTCCTCTTTGATCAGTAAGGGTCTGAGAACAATCATCGATTTTACATTGTAAAAAGGTTCTTTGTTTATTTATTGTTTTATTTGATTAAAGAAGAAAAACAATATTTATATCGTAAATGCACAAATTGTAATGAAGACCATTAATCGGAATGTTATATAGCCAATTGTACATAATGAGAATTTCGGCAATATAAAATAAAATTTTCAGAATAAAAAAAATGCTGCGCTTTGATCAAAAATACACTTTATTGTATATGAAATGAAATGAAATAAACATTAAGGGATGGTATTTTATGTTTTGCTTTTTACGGAGTTTAATCGGGTTAATTAAAAAAATACTTGTTGATTGAGTATGGTACGCACAATCACAGCCAAGCCCCATATCCCAATTTTTTTTCATGATTGATATACATCGGGATCGTTTTACTCGTCGTTTTGACGCTTTATTTTTGACGTTAAATTTGACGTCACGTCAAACGTTCAATTGAAATCGCAAGAGTTATCTCCCCCAGTGTGTTGTTGGAATTTATTTGCATATCAAATATGTAGTCTCTATCTCTCATGGTTCAAAAGATATGGCGAAAATTCAAAAAAGCTATTTTTAGCATATAAGTCACAGTCAAGGTCACAAGGTCATTGACTTTGGTGTCATTTGAATGAACTCTTTATCTCTCACGGTTCAAAAATTATGGCGAAGATTAAAGTTGACAACAGACAGACAAACAGATAAACAGACAGGACAAAAACAATACACGCCCTGGATCTATCGATCCGGGCGCATAAAAATCTATCAAGTTGAATGTTTTTATACAAATTTGCTCTGAACTTCCAAAATACAACGTCTTCGGCATTTACAGTCCTTATGAAATAACGATCAAATAGAAGTTCGATTACAAAACACAAGACATGCATTTCTTCCAGAAAGCAGATAGTCATATTCCATATCATAGTCGAATGTCTATCGGGGCTTTTTTTATTCTCGAGAATTTTTTTGGCTTTCATAAGGCAATATCCCAGACACTATGTTACAACTAGAATACATGTACTAGAATCAAGCATTCAATA